GCAGGGTGGGAGAGCGAGTGAAGAAAAGTAGCAGTGCAAGGAGTTACTTTGACGAACAACGCCGCGCACCGGTCCCCAGACCATGCTAGCTGTATGCAGGGAGGGGGTAGCGGGAAAAGCCACATGCCACTGAAACCGCTAGCTACTCGCCACAGCGAATCACCGAGAGCAAATATCGTCACCGCTGGCTGCACATAAAACTGCCAGGCCATGCTCTAATTACCGTTGTTCTGCACACATCGGACAGGCCGTTGAGCAGCGACTTGTGTATCGTCGTTGGTGAGGATGGGGTTTTGGTTGAACCTCATGCAGCGATGAGCATGATTCACCCGATCGGCCATCCCTGACGTTGATCGGTTCTTGTTGGGTTCTGGCCAAAATACCCGGTGCAGATGCAGGTACACGCGTATCGATACGCCCCAACAGAGAGAAAAATTGTGTCCAGCTCGTACAATCGCGATCGCGTTCAGCATCGCCGGCCGAACATTCGGATTACACCGTCCAGAGTTCAGCCGACGAAAAAGCAACTAATCCCTTTGTTGCAGGACGGCCAGGCCGCGGAAACCCCAAAGACGATGTCGCATGTCTACCATAGGTCCACAGCTCGCCTATTTCCGAGCATCCTGGTGGAGATACCCCGAATCGAGAAACTGTCCACGTAATCCATTCCCCCCTGTTGAGGCTTGCATCGTGCCTGCCCAGGAATGTTTCAGCCACACGCATCACACATGTCAGGCACATTTGGCCGTTGAATGGCTGCGAACCCTGTGGCGGTGAAATGAGCCTTTCTTCTCAGGAGCCGCCGATGATGATGGATTTGTACCACCGTGTTTGTCGCGATAGTGACAGCTGTCCGGCAAACGCGAGACGGAATGGGGCTATTCTTAGCTGTTGCGGATCCGAGGCGCAGCTTCTTATGATCAACCACTAGATGTCCCCACAGCCAGGGTCCAAACAGAACCGTCGTCTATGCTAACATGTTAGGGCTCCAGAGTTTGTGTTTACCTTCACGATCGATACGACGAATGGGGACTTTCACGATGACGTCGATTCTACGGGTGCGACATGCACGAGTTTCAGCCATCGATCAACATGGCTATGACGTTGTGCTGATCACCATAACACCACGAACACAACATTGCACAAACATCCCGGATGCTCTTCAAAGATCTCCAAACTATACACGGACCAGTTTATGAGTCGCATCAATGATTCAAGTAGTCCCACAACGAGAGTCTGTCTAGCTATTCCCGCAAAGCGCAATACCAGCCACAACACAATACCCCCAATTCCACATCGTCGCACTGACCAAATCATCTACATTCAGAACCCCAACACCCAGTCCCATCAACGTCTCCCAAATTTCATCCCTTTTCCCAATCGGCCAGTTTGGAGTGCCCCAGTACCGACTCTTCAGTCCCTTCGCACCCGCTGCTTCGATTTGCTGCTTGACTGCTCCAACCTGTTTTGACGACATGCTTGCGAACCAGAGCTTGCCTACTGCGTCGCTGAGGGCGGCGGATGCGTAGTAAGAATTGGTGGTGTTGTACTTCGCATCTGAGACGGAGACGAGGGGCGCATCGAAGAATATGTACCGGTTTTTCATGGACTGAATGAGGTCGTAGGGGGCGTTTCCCGTGCCGACAATGGTAAGGGAGCCTGTATGGAGCGTCGAGCCGTCGTGGTATGTTAACCAGTCCTTGGAACGGAGGGGACCGAGTTGCGAGAGGAGGACTGGCCATGTTGCTGCCGGGTCGGATTTGAAGTCTATGAGTAGGACGGTGGTTGCACTTGGATCCATGTCAAAGACGCCGGTCTTTTTGTCTGGCTCTGAGGCTGGTGTTGCTTTCCGCTGTTCGAGGATGTTCAGAAGTGGGTCGATGTATAAGCTTTTCAGCGTTCGGTCGCTGGTCGTAGACTCCCAGGAATGACTGACTCGCAGTTCGCCATCTTCTGTCAACCAGATGTCTGCTTCGATACTGGTACATCCCGCCGCGAGGGCAGCATAGAGGGGAACAGAGCGCCAGTAATCGTTGTGAGAGTGGCAGCTCTTGGGTACTATGTCACGACTGAAGTCATCTCTCCAGTCGAATTGGAACGCTTTGGCTGCTTGCGGCTCTTCCCAGGTATCGACGATGTGCTGGAGGCCGCTGTTCTTCGGGGAAGGAGCGAGCCGCTTCAGCAGTATGGAGACAAAGGTGATATAAACACTGATGTATGTTAGTCTCACTTCGCACCTTGATCGGATCTCCTTACCCTCCAGCGATAGCACCGAAGATGGTCAAGATAACAGCAATAATCCCGAACCAAAGAACACAACGTCTTCTCCGTTGCTTTCGGTGGGCTTCGGTTTCACCAGGTCGACGCGATAACAAGCCGCACCAGTTCAATCTCTTCCACCGGTGCTGCGATGCAGTACGTCGATGTACTTGCCGCTGAAGCTCTAGCTCCTCCAGACTCATTGGACTAGAGATTCGACTGACAGCGTCATTCTCATCATCGCGATACGTTCGTGTAGTAGTGTCTCCGCGAGCCATGTCTGTACGGAAAGGCTGTAGTTCTATTGCAATGTCTGCTGTCGACATGAAATGACTGCGCAATGGTCAGACACACCACGGAAGAAGGAGATACTTGTGAGACCGTATAGCCAAGTTGATGTATAGGCTTGGCTTGGGGGTAGCACCCGTGCGATGCGCAAACAAGTACAGTGTAGAGTTGCACCAGTCGAACCAGCGCTAATCAAACTAGGCAAACCACGATAGGGTCTCACCTCATCTGGAAGTCACTAGTTTGATGATGAGAAGAATTGAGAAACCCGTTTTTCACTCACCTCTGCTGTCAGTCACTCTTTTGCTCCAAGCTCGTTGTCTTCCGCTCTGACATTGCATCTTCACCCCGAACACACACTCTTTCATATACACTTCGCCCTTCACTCCGCCCCGACTCAACACCATCCAAATACATCTGCCTGATCGTGCGTAGACAAGGAGCCCTCGCACAGCATGACACTTACGTCCCAGGCTTTCCGCAAGGCACTTACTTTCGCATCTATCTCCTCCACCAAACCACATCATCGCGACCTAGATTAGCACTTCCCTATTGCCGCTTTGGGACAACGGACCGTCAGTTTGGGACCGGGCGCTATCACCATCACTTACGCCCCGTGAGATCATTCGTAAGCCTTCACGTCTACACATCTACTCATACGATGAGATACCGCCTTGACGAAGGGCAGAAGGGCTCACGACGCGCGGCACTCTCTACTGCAGACGCATCGAACTCTCTATTGCAGGTGCCTCCAACTGAGGTCCGATCGGTTACACGACCGCGAATATACTTCGTCCGGAAGCAGATGCCAGGACTACAATGGATGAAGGAAGGAATATCGACTGCGTCGTCGTCGTCGTCGTCGTCATGGCATGAACTCAGGTTCACTCTACTAGGTACCCTCGGCGACCAAGCGCGCGGATACGACCAAACGCGGATAGTGGGAACATGCCCAGGTGGTGAAGTTTGTGTCATCCAGCTAAGCCTCGAGCACGGTTCCTTGCAGAAAGCTTCGCATGTAATACTCGTATCGTTTGCTCGTACTGTAAATAGCTACCGCGCGCAGGTGTGATGGGTTGGGTCGTTTACCGAACTCGGTGCTGGTATGGGATTCGCTCCAGTGGTTAAATGATGTTGTTCCTTCAGTGTGCCTTGTTAAGGCTTGACCTCTTCATCGTCCCTAGATTGTATGTTACGACGCCGACGGTATGGTATGATATTGCCTGGCTACATCATCTCGCAGACCGATGGTGGTGGTGTTGGAGCGCTCTCGTTGTTGCCTTGGCGGCGTGGCTGCATGGCCGCGCGGTCCTATCTGCATCACCCATCCAAACATAAAAAATGACGTCCAGAAAAAGAACAGACGGGAAAGCGGGAAAGGCGCACTCGTCCATGTGCGTTGCGCGACTATCTAACGCCCTGCGCGATCTTCGCATGTGAGAGTCCGCAAGTTCCGCAAATCAATCCGAGGACCCCAGCAAAGAAAAAAGATACTGCACATACGCGCGCCTACAAACCTCCGCTCCGCCCACCAACCCTCAACACCTACCACCTACACACCAACCACCAACCCACACCCAACCATCCCTCGCAGCCCGGATAAACACCCGCAGCCCGCGCACAACCTTGCGCAAAGGGTCTTAGAGCCCCACGCGTATTGTTGCCAGCGAGGCTGCGGACGGCTCACATGCACCTGTCTCTCGTTGGTCTAAACCCCTTGCAGGCTAGTTTCTGTGGGGTTCTTGCATGTTGACAGGAGGCCCGATGGGAAGGACGCAAGCTATCTTCAACCGAGCAGATCACGCACGGCAACACACCGACATTCACGGACGATATTTGCGAGACGGTCTCCTGCTGTTGTTGCCATTGACTTGGGGTTTTGGACAGGGAGAGTGGTGGCGTGAACGCGCGACGCGTGACGATGTTCAAAGACCTGATGGACAGACCACCTTTGTCGCTTCTTCTTCCTCTTTGTTGACATTATCGTCGAGGTCTTTCCACAATTTCATTTTGTCCTAGACTAAGATTGGGGTATCTTAACCTAGTGGGTTTGGCTGTATGCACGCGGTATGCCAACTCACCACACCGACTCTTTTTCACCCGCCGTCAACAGATCAACAATAAACAGCAGGGACCCAACCTCGTTTATTTTTTACATCGTTCGCTACACTTAAAGCAAGCTTCAATATCTCATTGTTCATAAATCACATTTTCAGCTTTTCTTCGCATTTGATACCCTTCATTTTCTTCGCTTTGTTATTTTGGGTCAAGAAGATTGAGCATCCGAGCTTCACGATAATAAACGATCACGAAACGAACGGCCGTCACGGATATACACAACAAAGAAATTGGGAACCCCGCATTCCACTACTTACTCCATCCCGCCACTACGGGAATCACCAACACACCACCTCATAAAACCTCACTAAACCGCTACACAACCCACATACACAATGGGCAAGGACTCCTCTTTCCGCCTCTGCATAGCCTCGCTGCTCATCATCCAAATCGCCTGCTGGGCCCTCACCCTGCTCGATCTCTACCATCCTGGCAAGCCCACAGCTATGCTACGCACCACGATGGACTTGGCCTCGCTATACTTTACGAGGCTGGGAGGCCAGAGTAGCGCTGCGTTGCAGCACCTGAGTGTACGGGATATCACAGCATTGGTCTACTGAGAGGACGAATAAGAGAGGGGAACATTAACGACTTCACGACTTGGGATGACGGGTTATACGATGGCATGGCATGGCATGATACCAACGGCGTTTATTGGATTTGGGAGTACGGCGCATGGCTTCATCTTCTCCCGTTTAACCCGGTTATCGCGCGGTCGAAACACCAACACAACAATACCACAACACAACCACACAACTACACACAGCTCTCACAGCACAGCTTTCATCGCATCGCTGCCCCATCCCAGCCCCAGACGCACAATCACGTATCGTAACGGCACACATAACTGCTCCAAGGACCCAGCCATTAAACTGTTGTTACCCTAGCATACATGATCCGTCATAGCAAAACGACACGATGTCTGAATTTAACAAATACACAATTCCTAGAGGCCTTCCAAAGCCCTAGAAATTGTGTATTTGTTGAACTCAGACAACATGCTGTTACGTTACGGCTCGCATACTAGGGTAATAACACTTTAAATGCTAGGTTCTCACAGGCTGTTAGTCAAGGTGTGAAGGAAGCATGACGATGGGATGGACAGCAGGAAAGATGTTGTGGGCTGGAAGGAAACGAGGGGAAACCCGCACGCGCAGGTCGTGGTGCAGGGAGTTAGTTTGAGCTTTGCTTTGTCTTTATATTTGATATGAATACCCCAGTTCCATCAAACTACATGTTTCACTCCACAATACATGCTCAACATACTCCACTCAAGATGATCTTGTGATAAAATGCATTCTCTTTCCATGACATCTAGCTCAACAGACAGGCTTTCACTTGCCCATCCGCATGATCCCAGCAATTTCGTCCCAGGAAAAAAAACATAGACCTTCCCACGCCCCGATGAACCCACGGAACCAGAGATAACCGAAACACAGAATAGACACTAAGATCCTGTAGCGATTGTTCAACTCCCATGTCCCCCGTTTGCGCCGTTTGTTTGAGTTGATTGATAAACACCGATTTGAATGCATGTTGATGTGAAGATCGAGACAAAGGAAAACTGGTCATGTTGTGATAGAAGGGTTTCACTGCGTGGCTTGGTGGTTCAACTCGTGCATCATGCTTACTTCGCCGAGGTGCTTCTGGTCGAAGTGTGAGGGGGAGTGGTCGTCTGAGACGAGTTGAATGGGCGGCGCGGGGCTAATTGCGTCGTCGTCGTTTGAGTGGGTGTCCTGCGTCTTTGGTGTCTCTTCACTCGGCCTGAGCGTCGTTGTGCTCTCAGCTAGCGGGTCTGAGGTCTGGCTCTCTGCGGCTGTTGGAGCTTCAGGCGCTTTGCCGTTCGCAGCCGTAGCTTTCTCTTCGGTATGCGTCTCGCCCACGTCCTCGATATATTGAGGCTTGTTCTCATTCTTGTTGTCGTCTTCGGGGGTGATCGCCTTTGTAAGACTTTGGAAGTTGAACATTGGCTCCGTGCTATTCGAATCCTGTGGAGGAGTATCGGTGTCGCCCTGGGCTAAGCTGATGCCTGATGCGTTTGAACTAGGCACGTAAGAAGAGCCAGGTGCGAGGTTTTGGTTCTCTTGCTGTTGTAGTGAGTTTTGGAATGAGTCGGCGAACGAAGACGAGGACGAGGAGGCGTTGGATTTATTGCGCTCGAGATGAGAAGGAGCCGGATTGCTGGTGTCAGATTTCTCTCGCTGAATCTGTGCGCGACTGGCTTCAAGATGCTTCTGCGGGTCGTCCTTGGTAGCCGGCGTGTTCAAAGTCGACGTCGGTTCTGACATGGGATTAAAGCCACCGGCGCCACCAGACCGATCAACTCCCTTTCCTTTCCCAGCCGCCGAAGAGCTGCCCGCTTCCGTTTCGTCGATGCCATCAATCTCGATGGGGTGGAAGCCACTGCCGATATTCCGTTGGGCTTTGGCAACTTTCTTGATTTCCTTGGCCTTCTTCTTACCCTCCTTCTTGGCTTCTTTGGCGGCGTCCTTCTCTTCCCTCTTCTTGCGGTCTTCTTCGGCTGCCAGACTCAGGCGTATTGCTTCCATCATCATAAGCTCCTCGAGGTCATCAATCCTGTTCCCTCTCCTAGAGCTTATTCGGCTGGGGTATAGGTCGCCCGAGTTTCCTGGCTGACCAGACGAGCTTTCACCTTCACGTCGTGGTGTCCCGTGTCCACTGCTACCAGCGCTGTCGCCAGTGAAGATCCGCCTTCGTCTTCCAAGGCCGAACCGGCTCTCTCCTTGTGGAAGATTTCCCATCATGTATGCAGCATTGTGTAGCGCAGTAGCCGCGGCAGCCCTTCGCAAAGCGTGGGATTTCGCGTCTGCCAGTTTCTTGGCCCAATCAGGCCGCACCATGTCGGTTGTTATCACAGTCTTGTCCGTGACTGCCAGTGACGTCGCCCTTCTTCTACCAGGGCCGGCCGCAGTGGGCGAATTCAAGGACGAGGTGGATGACATTGCCGACGTCGCGCTACCCATGCCGTTATGACCCTGCCCATTATAGACGAGCCCTCTCCTAAAAGGCGGCGGCTCGTAGGTCACTCCAAACTCGGTTTGTGTGCAGTACGGGCAAGCAGCTGCTTCCGAGACCAGCTGAACCTCTTCCTCCGGCTCAGCAGATTGCGCACCCTCAGCGCCTGGTTCTCCGTGGTGCTCTGGTGGATGCGGATCGGGTCTCTTGATCTGAACGAAGCACTCTGAGCAGATAGGCTGATCGCAGCAACGCGTCTTGTTCAAATGTGGCGGGTAGTACATGAAGCAGATGGGGCACTCGGAGGCATTCTTGTAGAGAAAAGCCTCAACCCGTTGGCCATTGACGTACGGGTCTTTGGGGAGGTGTAGTTCTTGCGGGGCCATGTCAGACTGCGAAGCATTGCGGGAACCGGTCGCGAGAGAGGCAAGTGTTTTGGCGCGGCCACGGAAGAATGGCGAGGACGAGGAGTTGTTCGCGATCGGAGAGCCAGGCGAGGGGAGGGAGAAGGTGGGATTCGACGGGGAGAGGCCACCCCCGCGCTCTGGCTCTTGGGACATGGAGCGAGCGCCCATGGGCACTGTGAGCTTGTTGAGACTGGGCTCCGAGCTGCGCGGGTTCCATGCCGTGCTGAGGTGGTTGTTCGTGGTGACTCGGGGCGGCTCTTCGGGAGGGATGTCATCTGCTGCGGGCAGCGGGCGGCCGTTGACGACCTCGACGAGCTGGTGCTCAGTCCAGGTATCTTCGTGGTCATCGAGACCCCGCCAGAAAGGAGCGAGTCGTCGCTCAATCTATCACGTGTGAGTTCAGTTCTCGTGTTAATCCTAAAATCACGGATAGAGGCATACCTGTAGCTGCCGCACCGTGGGCTTGCTAAAGTCCTCTGGTCCCGTGTATACCCCGAGCGTAACCAGGTATCCTCCGTCGACGCCTTCCTCCTTCAAACTCCTCTCGCGCTCCTGGGCCCTCAGGATGCGGTCCTTCTCCAGCTTGCGGGCCTCGCGCTCCGCCTTTGTCTCCCGGCGCGGTTCGAGGGCGGGGTCGCGTTCGGCATTGTCGCCGGTGCGGATGCCGAGGAAAGACAGGTCCGGTCTGCTGCCTCTGTCTCTCCGCGAGTTGCCATAGGGACTGTTCCCCGGCCTGTCGTGTGTGGATGCGGCGGGCCCGGCAGTCGAGGGCGAGGTGGGCTGGTGAGCACTGGAGCGGCGGGCGTGGCCTCTCCGCTCCGGCGTGGCCTCTTTGCCCTGCGAGTTGCCCATGGTGCGGGTGGAAGGATGGATGGAGGAATTGGATTATCGATGGTGAAAGCGGATCGCGCCGGGCTCGCAGCAGGGCGGGCCGTGGATGCCCAAGTGCCAGTGACGCAGTCTGTGCGGGCAGGGATCAGGTCGTTATCGCGACAGCTAGCGAGGGAGAGGTGGTGGGCGTGTCCGGTGCAAGATAGCCGGTGTCACAAGGACATCGATGCTGGGGACTGGCCGTGGGTGGCCCTTTCCGACGCGCCTCACGAGATGCGATTAGATAGACAGAGTAGTCGCGATCGACAAAAGGGGCGCATGGGCGAGGCAGGCAGAGGCAAGTGCAGTGGGGAGTGGGTGTCGACGAGCAACCCCGGAGTGATGGCGCCCTGGAGTCGACGATTCCTGGATGATGTCGTTGCTTGGCAGCTACGCAGCGGACTGTCGATCGCAAATGAATGTTGCGTATGTAGGAAGCTTAGGGCCGAATGGGCGGGGCGATGGAAAAGGCAATCAGGCGTCAGGAGCAGCCGTCGATCATGTCAGCTCAGCATGCCTTCACCATCATTCACAGAGTCGAGTAGTGACGAGGGCGCACGATGGGAGAGCAAACAGGCTGCGTGCTGGCGACATCTGGGCCTATATGCAGCCATGGCATGCTGCAGCTAGGTCCTGGAGCTTGTGCCGCTTAGCCCGCGCCGCCACGATACCAATACCAGGAACCAACCTTGGGCCTTGTCCCAGTCCTGCTATTCCCGCCCGCAGTCGGCGACCACCAACATCACCACTTCGTTATCATCAAACACTCGAAATTCGCCCTCAAACACTGTGCTGTTCGCTACCAAGCAGACGTTGGGCGACACGCGAGCACTGCACCCCGCCCAAATGCGGGGCTCCAGACATTGACACTTGGTCAATGGGGTTGCATAACATGTTGCTTACTACCTCCCGTCCTACGCCGTGTCCACTGCTAGCCTCACCACCCTCGCGCCCCTTCAAAGGCTGCTACCGCCTCATGTCAGATCGTTCCAAATTCCCACGACGACTCCCAGTGGTATTTGTCTCCAGGGCCCGAGATCTGCTTGTCCAGCCGACCCCACTCCGGACTGTTCAACAATATTAGCTTGTGCCTGAAACGACGTCATCATCGACTTACTGGTTGATGCCATCAACGTAGTCTTGGGCCTCAATAGCGATGCATCCGTCGCGCGGGATGAGTTTGTCTTGGCCAACAACACCCTGCGTGCTCTTGAACTCGCTCTTCCCGTCGTTCCAGTTGCACGTGTAGAGGACAACGGCATCTTGGTTCGTCGTCAACTTGGCCTCGATGCCACTGTATGCGCTCGATAGCGTGAGCACAGCTGCGCTCTTGTTCCTGGCCTCGTTGAACGCCCAGGCACCGTTGTAGCCGTGGCATCCGTTTCCGCAGTGGTTCTCGAATTCCTCGTTGCCTGATGCAAACCCAAGTTCATGCGGTGCGGACCAGACTAATCAAATCAACATCAACTCATATTAAGTTCACAAAGAGATTACTCACAATCATCAATGGCTCCTGCGGGGATTTGCGCAATCTCGCCGGTGGGAAGAGCGTTCGCATCGGCGACGAGCGCATGCTTGGCCTCTGGCATGTACACAGTGTGGTTCCAGACCGTGCGGTTGTCAGGGCGTTTGAAGGCATCGAGCTGGAAGTAGGTATGCTGCGTCAGCATGAGCGGCGTCTTGGCCTCGGGGGATGTGGCATCCATGGAGATGTGCCACTTGTTCTTCGAGACCGAGTACGTGACGCTCGCATCCACACGGCCAATCATACCCAGCGAAGAGTTGGAAGCATCGCTGATGGAGAAGGTGATGGACGAATTGGTCACGGCGCTGACGTTCCACATCCTGTAGGACCAGTTGTTCGTACCGCTGTGGAGGGTGTTTGGGCCATCGTTCTTCTCAGTGTGGTACGTGGCGTTGTCAATGGAGTATTCGCCGTTGCCAATGCGGTTGACATATCGCCCTGGGATGGCATTGTAGACGGGGTGTCCGGGGTCGACGGCTAGAGATTATTAGTTTGTCTTGCGATGCATGCGCGACAGCAGCTTACGGTAGTAGGACGTGTTGTCATAACCTAGGACGATGTCTAGCTCCTGGCCTGCCGGGTCTGGGTTTTATTAGTAGATATCATCTAGCATGATCAGTGCATTCTACCTTTGACGAAAAGGTTGGTGAGTGTAGCAGCATAGGGAATGAATTGCGCCCTGATTCCCTCGGCCTCAATCGTGTACCTTCCTTGCGCATCTGGATGTGGAGAGCCTGGGTGCGCAAGCACAGTTCGTGCAGCAGCAGCGGCGAGAGCGACTGGGATATACCTCATGGTGAAGTAGGCTAAGAAGTACTGTAGTGGGAAAGAGCGACCGCGCCAACAAACATTCAACCTACAGCACCCACATCTTTATACATTGCAATCCAAAAGCGCCCCTCCAAACCGCATGCACCTTCATTTCTAGAAGTTCGCCCTGATATTAATCATCACTGGCGTCATGGGTGTATCCGGGGTTAAACGGGGGCTTGGCCATATAAAGCAATCTGTCTGAAGTATTACTCCGGCACCTCCTGCAGGTACTAGGTTCCTTAGCCGGGCGTCTCTATGCTCTAAGCAGACACTTGAGTGCATTGTGTCTTGTTTACTAGATCAAATCTGGGGTTGGTATTTGATGGGGTGTGGAGGACAAGACGCGCAGGCGGTTCTACGGCACGTTACTTGCCATGTGGGGCGACGAGCCGGATGTGATGAGGCTTGCTCCGGGGATGCCCTTCTTCCTGCTGCAGCGAGCCTTCGACGTCACCAGATTCCATCTCAGCTGAATCTCTGGCATCTGTAGAATACACTCGACTCGCTTTCTGACATTCTTTTTCTCTGAGAATTGGTGTTGTCACCTCATCCTTCCGCATGACAAAGCTTCAGTCCTGTGCCCGAGCGATTGAATTTCTCATCTACCCTCTTCAACAATCAAGAGATTATAGGCTATGTCTCAACATGTTACACCAAATCGCGGCACCTCTGGTGGGGATTGCGATTGCAGGACGTACGCAGAAGTAGGATTCGTCCCTTGACATCCAATAACACCTGCCGCCTCTTGCCGCGTGTCTGGTTGCCTAACATACCCATGCTTGGCAGCTGATGGGCTGAAGGTACATTGGAAGGATCGAACGTACTCACCTCAACAATCCCTACAAACAAGCTCTTCTTATCCCCAACCATGGGCGCGCTTGAATTCATCTGCGATCGAAGGTTCCACCGCAGTTTCGTGCTTCCCGCCGACCCTGATGCCGACCGACCCAAACCCTATCATGTATCCTACTCCGACTTTGGCGACGCCGACAGCAACGCAGTCGTCTTGTTCTGTGGAGCTATGTTTGGGCAGCGCCTGTCTTACTCCCCTTTGGATCAATTAGCAAAGAAGCATCATGTCCGAATCATCCATCCGGATCGTCCTGGTGTTGGTGGGAGTGATGCTGTGACGCCTGGAAAGCGGATTCAGACCTGGCTCGGTTGGTAAACATGTTCTTCCATGAAGGCGGCTAACTCATCCACGTAGAAATGGTTCCCCAACTCCTGGCGCATTTGAATATCGAGCATGTTTCGGTTGCTAGTCACAGTGGGGGTAACATCTACCTCGTGAACCTTATCCTCGCCTATCCACACCTGCTGAATCCCAATCATCCATACGTCTGTTTCTTCGCTCCATGGGTACACTACTCCCACACGAAAATGACGCATCTACAGGCTACTGGGCTTCTTCCCGCGTCTCTAATAGGGAAAATGGGCCCCGTCGCCAGATTCATCAATCAGAATGTCGTTCCGCTGGTTGGCTTGAGCGGCACCCTCGTTCAAGGAATATCCACTTCATTGTCGCGCTCAAGCTCTACTGCAGGCCCAGTCTCTCTTGCAGCGTCCGAAACAACTGAGCCTAGAAAGCCAAGTGATGGCTCCCACGACGCTCTCTACGATCTCGCACTTGACGATCCAAAAGTCGTGGATGACCTGCGAAACCACATCACCAAGTTCGTTTTCGCAGAGTCCGTGGACGGTGTCTCAATGGACACACAGATGTTCTTGAGACGCTCTGTTCCGTGGAGTACTCCCATAGCCGAATGGGAAGATCTTGACGACGCAGTACAGCTGCTGTCCAAGACCATTGGCGAAGATGATCGACTAGCAGGAAACAGACGGGTCTGGGATATCGACTGCATGCACGCAGAACAAGACCAACTGGTCGGCGATAAAGGCAGGGATTGGTTCAACGCGATATGGGTACCAAGCCAAAGCTATGATTACAAAGATGCAGTGCTCCCAGGTACCGATCACGACTTGTTGGTGGACCCTGCCTTTGGTGGGAGCGAAAAATGGTTGCAGCGGGTCAGCGAGTCCTGGCAGACTTCGCAGCCTGTCGTAGGGGCTCCTTAGCATCAATTCTACCTTTGCATCGTCGCCTAGAAGTACGTTAATCGATAGCCAAGCCCTTGGTTTTCCTGTATCAGCATGCAAAAGTGATGACTCGTGCATACAACGGAGATAACACGGCACTTTGCAGTAACGCCGATCTGACGTCTTCATCCAAGCGAGTCGCAGGGCTGAACACGCGAACACCATCATAGCCCTGCATCGACCATGGCCGAAGACATGCACATCAACCCCCAACGCGCGAAGCAGCTCACCGAGAACATCGCGAGCATAACCTCGCGTATCAACGCCGCCCGCCAAGGCAACAAAGAAGTAACACACTCTTATCCCTCCAGCCCTTCAAAAGCACATCTACTAACACGCGACACTCCAGGTCCGCCTCATCGCTGTCTCCAAACTCAAACCCGCAAACGACATCCTCGCGCTTCACAAACCATCCTCCCCCTCGCAACCACCCTTCCAAACGCACTTCGGCGAAAACTACGTCCAAGAACTCCTCGAGAAGCACAAAATCCTGCCCCGCTCCATAAAATGGCACATGATCGGCGGATTGCAATCGAACAAATGCAAGCAGCTGGCTGAGCAGGTACCGAATCTGTGGTGTGTGAGTAGTGTAGACAGTGAGAAGAAGGCGAATGAGCTGGAGAAGGGGAGGAAGGCGTTAGTTGAGAAGGGCGGGGAGGGGGAAGATAAAGTGGAGGGCAAGTTGAGGGTAAAAGTCCAGGTCAACACCTCCGGCGAAGAAAACAAATCCGGCGTCGAACCCTCCGACACCCTCGCGCTATGCCGGCACATCATAGACAAATGTCCGCATCTCCTCCTCCACGGCCTCATGACCATCGGCGCCATTGCGCGCAGTCAAGCCACGACGCCCGAAACCGAAAATGAGGATTTTGTTAAGCTGAAGGAGGTTAGGGATCAGGTGGTTAAAGAATTGGGCTGGGAAGAGGGGCAGTTGGAGTTGAGTATGGGGATGAGTGCGGATTTTGAGGGCGCGATTAGAATGGGGAGTGATGAGGTTAGGGTGGGGAGTCAGATTTTTGGGGAGAGGCCGGCGAAGAAGGATGCTGTTGTTATGGAGAAGGAGACGAGGGGGGAGAGCTGAGGAGGTTATGGTGACCGAGCGGATGGGTCTGGTGTGAGAGCATATGTGGCTGGAGCATGGTAGATTTCGGGGCAAAGCAGTTGGACACGTGCTCTAGACAGATAGCCAACGTGGACTCGTTGTCTGAGACGATAAGAACTATACTTGTATATCGTGTCAGGTGGGGATATGAGCGATTGGATCTTCTCTAACATACACGGAAGTGAGGGTCTGGGTGTTGTTTTTAACTATACGAGTGTGGCTCCAATGTATGTAGTCGCGCGTTCAGATTATTTTCACATCCATCTCCACTGCTTTGTCATTCAATGCGCGCGACAGTCTCGTGCGCAAGCCCGACCCTTCTAAGACGTTTACCAGAAGTGTACCAATACGCGCATAATCGCCTTCTTTTCCTTCTACGGCCTCCAGTATGAGCCAGAACTGTCGTTTGTCGTAGACGACATCGACTACAAAGAGCAAAAAAACGAAGACCCGCTTAGCGACCTTGCCACGGCAAACATTGTCCCATCCAACTGTGCAGCCATCAAACTTACCAATACGCTCTCCTTCCAGTACAAGGCCGTGATCATAACCACGTTCCAGTTCTTGTCTCTCTAGTGTCAGAAGTTTTCCCCGTAAGATAGCAAATCCATACGATATCTGACCCATAGGATCATCTCCTTTAGGTATTGTTAGGGCGCTGAGGAGAGTGGCACATGCTATGATTGGACGAATGTATCGCATACGCCAGGCTACTGGACCTTGGGCTGCAGCCCATGACCAGGAGGGAGCGCGCCAATTATCGTGTTTGTTTCGTATTGGCTTGGAGGGGAGCCAGCCGAGGCTTGAGATGAAAGTGCTCTCCCAATGCCCCGCCAGGTATCTACCCATCTTTGAGGGAATGAGCTTAGCCAGCGCTTGTACGGCAGGGAAAATGTCGCCTGGGTATGTGAGTGACTTTGACGCGTATGTCTCGATCAAATGCTCCCACTTTCCTTCGATACCCTCGAGCGGTGATAGCTCGCTCAATTCGAGCGCGCCCTGACGGTCCCTGCGATCAAAGCTGTGATCGAAGCCATCACATTCGCAATGAAAGCACTCTCGACATTCCCACCAGAGCTCCTGCTCCATGAAGTGAACAATTCTTGTAGATAGCATCCGCTCCTGGAAGACCCAGCCTCTTTCAAAGAGCGGCGTTTTCATATCACCCAGCACCTCGTGACAGTGAAGCTCATATGTCTTGTCGTCGCTGTCCGTAAATGTTTTCGTACGCGACGTGAACCGCTCATCAAGCGTGACGAAACATCCTTGATGAGGGTTCGCTGCCCATGTTGCTGATAATGTCATAGACGCATTTGCATAGATATGCGACATTCGACTTCCTTCATGACGCCAATCATCAATCGAGTCTTGAATGATACCTGAATCACAGTGAGCGTTGCAATAAAGTCTTTCGATTCAAGAACCAAGGAGCACTAACAGAGGGAGTCGATCCATAGATACTTGAAGCCAATACTATTGGCAAACTGAATTGCATCTTTGAAGGTTTTGGGCAGCTCTTCCCAAGGAATATTGACAGTATACTGGTCAAAATTTCTTGTAGTGGTCTGAATCACAGCCTGTCCTCCCCAGCAATGGCTCAAACAAGCGTATTCAGCAACTTGGGTATCCGAACTGAATAGTTTAACTCTGTTGGGTCCTTGGATGTATATCACCCTTGTTGGGAGTGGCGAGCGGGAATTCGAAAGACATTTTTGGTGACCAGACAAGCAGTCAGAATACCAATCTTTTACTCTTCTGACAGCAGCTGCAGAGCCTGTGTGGCGAGTGACCATGGGAGTCAGTGGTATAGAATGCCAGGGACTTGAAAAATCTTCTTGAATCAGCAAGACTGTAGTATGGATTCTGAAATAGCGTCGTAATCCCACTTACTGTGCGAACGAGGGCGAGCAGTTTCAACGAACTCGAAAGGTGTACATTTGAGCACAAGTTTTAACCATAAGCCATCTTCGGAGCTCTTGCGGTAAAAGTAAGTCAGCAGGCCCATGAACATCTGCCCAGCACGTCCAATGTCGATGTCGACTTGCTGTCCTTTGTCTTGCAGTCGTTCCATGTAAGGTTCAAGCGCCCAAGCGATGATCTCGCAACCTGGGCAGCCCTTTTGTGCAGTAATAGCAACTTCCCATACCGGCTTACTGTGCGGCCCACATGTTCCAAGACCGTGCCTTTCGCGATAGTCAGGGTCCCAGACCTCGTTTCCGAGGTTAAGACACACCTGACATATCGTCTCAGGAAGAACCTCAGCTGCAGCAACGGAAGACTCACCTGAAGCGAATGGAGCTGTTCGCTTTCTTTTACGGCTCGGTGGTGTGGCAAGGCTGAAGGCTTCAGACTCTTGATCGTCCGCTTCGGCCATGGTAAACAGGTGTGAGCGTCTGATGCTTCGGAAAGGAATGTAAGAGATTATTGGCCAGCTACCTAGGCATTTAAAGAAGTTGCAAGGTTAATTCGGAGCGAAGATCAGAGATTTCACGCTGACACGCGGAAGGAAGATGAGGAAGCCACCACCTGGGCACTCAGCCTGATCACGTGTATGCGGGGCACAAGCTCAGGGCCGCGAAAGGCGCTCGCATGATTTCGCGTACGCTTTCGAGCAAACTGAACACCACAGGTTCTGTTGCTTCAGCTAATCATTACAGGGCTATGGGGATCTAGGTGTGGTACGACACCGCGAACGCCTTCATACCTAAAGCTTCCTAATATATACGAGTTACAGTCTCTGTTCGAAAAATTACCGAACCGTAGCCTGAAGCAAACATGGCCAGCGATTGGGTACAGAATGGGGAAGAGGGTTAGCTAGGCCGCCTCTTTAAGGGGGATTCTGGGGCTATTGCAAAGGGATCCACATTGTGGCAGCTCTACCGCATATTTGAAGATACAATGACTCGCAAAGCCTCGGCCAAGGACTCGGCGTCCAAAACAGCTTCTCTCGTCTCCTCTGAACCGAAAGCCTGGTATGACGTTATTGGGATATATCTCACCTCCGCAGAAAAGATCGCGGACGAAGATGCTCTGAAAGCACTGGTGGAATACATTGTGGAACTGGCAAGTCTTCCCGATGCTATCAACGAGAGCCATGAAACGGTCGTCATCGATCACATAGGCCACGCCGGGGCGTCGGTGCCTATCGAGCCCGGAGAACCCCTCGTGATGGGGTATGGAGGGGAGAGACTGTGGAGGGACTTGCCAGACTTGAGTATGGAACTAACAGAGCGCTTTCAAGGTAAGATATGCCCCGCTGTATGCGGTGATTGCTTTGTTCGTTGACTTACTCGTCAACATAGGACCTGAGCAGTACCTTTCAGATACACCATCACCAGCGGACCTTGAAGCTGCAAAGACGTTATGGAAGAACTTCAACGCTTTCCTCGCCCTCATAGCCACAAGCGCTAGGGTGCAGACAATTCCAGTCCTTGCAAATGGGATTCGCATGGCCCGCATGACCTTGGTGACAGCCCTTGAACACTCGCCGAACACACGCAGGGGCAAGGGGACTGATCTGCACATACCCGCTGCTGAGGCATGGTTCCAGATCGCGGGCGATGAGATTGGAAAGCTTTGTGAAGCTGGGACGGAAACGTTACCCCCGGGTGATCTTTGGGCCAGTCAAGGGGGCGGGGACCTTTGCGACAGTGCTAGATTGGAGTTTTGGAAGAGGAGAATGTCTGAGTTGGGGGCCAAGTATGGGGAAACAAAGTAGGCTTCGGGCCCTGTGGGTGTAGCCTGGTAGCGTGAGAAGAGATCGCGGGGTCTGGCAGGTGCCGGAGGTGTAAGGCAGTAAGACACACCAGCCACCACTGCAGCACATCTTGAGTTATCAGGATGCAAATTACAGCCTGATACTATCTCTTGTAGCCGATTCAGTCAAGCTCTTGATTTGTTTCAATCGGTGGTTAATGTCATGGTGGCTCACTGGTTGATGTGGTGGCAGTGCCTGCATGCGTACTCACCCCACCAAGGCTGAGCATGCCTTGCCTCAGGTGCGACTCCGCCCTACGCCGCTCTCTTGAGCTTCCGTCTGTCATGTTTTCTTACCTGCTAGTTCTCCTCTCGTTCCCACTCACCATCCCATCATGTCGTTCGGCTTTTCTGTTGGCGATTTGATTGGTGCAGCAAACTTAACATATCGTTTGATCAGAGCAGTCCAAGGCAGCCATGATGCGGGCGAAGATTATCGGCATGCAGTCCATGAGCTAGGATGTATGCAGCAAGCATTCATGCGAGTCAGCTGTCTGGGCTCAACCCCGAATGTCTCTCAAGCTACATTCGACGCCGCTTCTTATATCACCATGGGGGCCATGAGCATCATCCAAGAATATTTTGATAAGACCAAAAAGTACGAGCGAAGACTAGGTAAGCTAGGAGCTTCGGGCATAGCGCAGAATTGGAGGAAATTCGGGTGGACTTTGTACAAGGCGGACGATATGAAGGAGTTGAGAGAAACGCTGCACAAAAGGCTCACTTCATTGAATGTGTTATTAGTGGCTGCCAATCTGTAAGTTGAGAAGTCTGCATACTTTGTACATTCGCTAACTTGGTATCGGAGTGAGCCCATCGGTACTGGCGATGCTGTGAGGTACGTAGTAAGTGACGAGCAGCCATCATCGAGAAATCGTAGCGCATCGACCACCCGAAACGACTCGAGCGCCAAGGAGCCAGTGCCAGCTGGGGAATCGCAGCCCCCTGGTTCAAGCACTGGCAACGAAGAGACGTTAAAAGCCGAGTCTGGAACAACTGTCCCATCGACAGAAGCTGAATCGGATCTGGATACGGCGAGTCTGTCATCTATGCCTTTTTCTCTGTCGGTGTTTTCGCCTGTGGAGCTGAGATTGTTGATCACGGACCCTACGAGGCGCTCGATCAGAATCAAAGAGATCGCTGGACTGATGCGGACTTTGATATTAATGGGAGATCATCAACTAGATCTAGGCAACCCCGAGGAATTCATGTCGCGACTAGACCGAATCTGCGGTGATAACCACGACAAACGACCCATCAAGTTCAAAGATGCAGTAGGGCGAAAGTTCAGCTTCCCATGGCACTTTTGTAGTACGTGGAAGGTAAGACACAGTATATCAGCCTTGTGCGAGCATAGTACTGACTTGGAGTCAAGGGAATGGAAGAGTTGATTAAGCAAGCTTTCCTACATGTCGACGTGATTGGACCACACGTACATGAAGGACACTATGACCTTATCGGCCCTGATGGTGAGATAATACTTCCACAAGTGTGGGACTCTATGGTACAGCCCGACTGGGCTGTAACTATGCATATGTGGCCCATGCCCGAACCTCCACCTGGCCCGCATCCTCCTCCTCCGCCCCCAAACATGGAAATGTTCAAGTCTTTAAACCTACAGATAGGTTCACGAGGATCACGAAAAAGACAACAGCCATCGGTCGACGTAGGTTCAAATCATGAGACACCTCTGAAAGGCTTGCAAACGCCGCAATCCCCTTCACTCACAGGAACATCAGCCATGAACACTGGTTACCGACTGTCTTCGGAAACTGACCACGGGTCTACTCAATCAGCGTCGCAAACAAGCTGCACATCCATATCAGATGAGGACGTCGTGGAAGAATGAGCAGAATACCGGAACGCGGAGTTGTACCGGAAGGCAGCGTAGCGGATACATCATTGGAAAATGCAAGCTTTGATGCTCACGTATCGAAGCGCGGCGGAGACAATGCACAGGCGCGCCATCCACAACACCACAAAAGCGCATCAATATGCCTACGTTTCATCATTACGTAGCCCCCGGTAACTCGAATAAACCTGTATAATAAGAACACACCTAAGCCGCAGGATCCAAGAATCCCTCCAACGTCTCATAGTTCAACGGCTTGAACAACTCGTTACTCAGATCCGCACCGCTACTTCCCAACAAGCCTTCAAAGTTCTCAAACGCCGCGTCGAAATTCAACCAGTCGGGTGACTGTTCAGCGAATCCAAATCCGGCGGGAGGGCCCGTCATGGGCGCCGCGCGATCTGCACGTTCGCTGCTTGTGGGGTGTTGACCGGGTGTAGGAGCGCTTATCGGGTTGAGAAGACTGTTCATGGGCGAGTTGGCGTGAGGATGATTTTGGTGTTGCTGGAGCCGAGGATCGATAGGCGTCTCCCCCATGTTCTGCGACCAGGGCTGCGACTGGTTCTGTAGTGGCATCTGGTTGTTATGTGTGTTTTGCGATGCTGGCGGCTCCGTCTTCGGCTCGGTCGGTCGGGGTTCGGCTGGAACCGGTACCGGTGTATTGACAGCGTTGGTATTGCGCCCTGCTGCATTGCTGAGTACGGCCCGTCCGAGATCAGCTGTTGTGCCTGCAGACCACCACGAGTTTCGTAAACGGTCGAGAAGGCGGACGCATTGCTTGAGTTCCTCGGTGGCGCGGTTGACGTGGACCTTGAGGCGGCGAGAGCGAAAGTGACGATACACCACGCTGAGGGCTACACCGAGCGCGTAGGGTACGATCGGAAGCGGTGGGAGTAGCTCGGGGGATTCAGCGTTGAGAAGATGGATCACTCGTGTCGCGGAGAGACTCTGTCGGACGTAAGAGGGTGTTGACTTGACCGGCGCGTTGATGGAGAGGGATTTGTGGGAAGCCATGCACATGGTGTGATGGAAAAGCGATAGGAGACCTGAAATAATTAGCAAAAATAGAATTCCAGGATTTGAAGCCACTTACTCATGATAGGGCCATCGAGCTTGTCTTCACCATCTCCAACCATCTCTTCAAACCCTAAGAAGTCATCACCTTCCCAGCCTGTCTCTTCAGCAGCTCTACCAGGCCTATAGTAGTCGATGACCTTGTCCAGCATCTCGGAGATTTGAAGCCAAATACCGAATGGGCTCGATCTCTTCTCTGGATCTTGGGGGAGTTGTCTCAAGCTATTGTCGCGATCATGCATCAGCAAAGGTCTTCCGTTCATACAAGCGTTAATCTTGTCCAGACTCCAAAGACACCAAAAGACATCCTCCAAATTGCCTTGGGATTCCGAACTTTGGTTTTTCCATTGATGTCCAAATTGGAGGCCGAAGGTATGCGCGTGATGGATGGCTTGTGCAAGATGCATGGAGGCTTGCTCAGCGCCATCTGGACCTTCGCAATGAAGTGATATGAGAGCAAGCACTTGGATGAGTACGACGCGATTCTTCTCTAGTTTTGCTTCGATCCCAACAATGACGGCATTGTAGAGCCTTTGAGAGAACTCGCGTGGATTGAGTGGCTGGGTCTCGTTACCCAAATAAAGATGCTTGGCGGCTGTTGCGTGCTTTGAAGCGACGATACAAATTGCTTGCATCAGAATTCGAGGTTCCCGACCATAGTTGTACTGCTCGTAGAACAGCTCCTTGTCCACAAGCGGGAGCAGCGGATGGACGTAGCTGAAGTAGATCTCGAGAAGCGCAGTTTGGTTCATACGAGAAGGGAGTATATCAACTCCGACCGCGTCTAGGTAGGTTAGGAGAGCCCTAGATACCTGAGCCTCCTGGTTGGAATGCGGACCTGTTTCTACTATCCGCGAAGCGCCTGAACCCACTTGCGACGATATCTGTCTCTGATCTCTTTCTTCGATCCATTGTCCAATGGGAGGGTGACTGGGCGACTGGGCAGTCTTTCCACGCTCGGAGTGAACTTGCTCTCGCAGGACGGCTTCAGGATTGAGATAGCCCAAGAAGTTGGGTGGTGTTTGGACTGTGTGGTCCGAGGCCGGGCTTTGCGGCGGCGGCATTGTGGATTGAGCATGGCCGTAGTCTCCACGGGGCCCCCTAGGATCATGAGGATTAGGATTGGGGTGATTGTAGCTGCCCGCTGATGGAGAATCTGATGATGCATCTCCATTTCGGGGAATGCTACCGGTGCCACCGGTGCCGCCGGTCGCTCCTTCCTCATCATCAAACGTATGCGAACACCTTTTCTAGTATAGCGTCAAATGATGGCCTTCAGAGGTTTACTGCTAGAACCTACTCTTCTCTTCTTGCATGATTCGCAGGCGCGATGGACTCCTGTCGGGTTCGTTAGCTGCTGCTTGTTGTGTTGCGCATTGCGCTGCTGCGCACGGTCTATACACACTTTTGCGCTTCCGGAAAAACTCGTTATTCGCGGCAAATGTGATCATTGTCGACATGTCGGTGGCCTCTGGGCGCGCTTCGTTCAGACAGCGCAGGTCGTGTATCGCAGGCAAGAGACGCTTGTTCTCCGTAAGACAACACGAGGTTGACGTTGCCAAGGTGGTGTTTCCTACACGTGATACGGTCGCGCGCCTGCCGCCTCCGCATTTGTTGGCGCTTGTGGAGCCGAGGCGATGGATTGGCCGCCAAAACCGTGAAACCGCAGGCATCACGAAACCTGCCCTACCGTTCGCATATTGCGGAGCAGGCCGGCTCGTCAATGTTGCTTACATCAACCTATGCCCTGAAGCATACGGTGTGGTTTATTGTTAAGATACCAACAGGCAGAAGCCGATGTATGCGTCAGGCCGTGTTTCTGTCGTAAATATCACAACACGGCAAAAGCGACCTTTCGCGGAGCTCATCTCGATACGGTCTCGTACTGCCTCGCTCGCCTTCCGTCCGTCCCGCCTCGCTCTATCACCGATACGGTTGCGCCTCCTATCACCGATAGTGCTGCTAATCACACTCGCCTCTAGTCGACTTGACGTATCCCCGCACAAAGAGACACAAGTACTTCCGTCTCTCAGCTC